GAAAACACGTTTGGTTAATATAAATGAAAACTTAAATTCAAAAAATATATGAAAAATATAGTTGGTATCATTTTTTTAAAAATAGAGATGAATAAATAGTTATTTAATAATTAAATTAAAATATAATTATTAAAATTTTCATTACAGAAATTTAACATGTGAGTTATGCAAAAACAATAAAATTGATAAAAAAAATCATAACAATAATTATTAAGATATTTAATACATTAAATATAAACATACTAAAAAAAATTATTAAAAAAATTAGTTTAAGGGCACATTTAGTGTAAAAAATTTAGGGACCATATTGATTTTTTCCAAAAGTTGTTGGGTTTTAGATACCATTAAATCAATAAATTATAGTTAGAAAGATTTGAACATGAGTTAGTTAAATTAAAATTTCAAATTTCGTATTTTTCTATTTTTCAAAATTCCAAAATAATTTTAATGAAAAAGACTAAAAACATCTTTTTTTTATGTTTTCATATTTTCACTTATTTTTATTTTTTCCCTTGAATTCATTTTCTAATTTTACCACCAAACATGTTTACTTCATCATTTTCTGATTTATAAAAAAAATTAAAAAGAAAATAGTCTATATTTTCTCGAACCAAACTAACCCTAAAATTCAAGCAGAACGTACTAGCACGGTGTATTGTACTATAATACTAGTACACAATTTGGAAAATATATTTTAGTAACCAATTAATGTACTAATACACATTCAATACCGATATTTGGTTACCCGCATACCGATATAGCTGAAAGAACGTACTGGTACAAACGATGGTTTCAATTTGAGAATTTAGAATTGGATTTGGGAATTATGGTTCTAATATAAAAAAGTAGGGTTCAAGTTTAAAAATTTGAGGTTCTAATTTGGGAATTAGGGATCTAAATTTGGCCTAATTAAAAAAAATTAGGATTAAGATTATGGTTAGGGTTTGGGAATTAGGGGTTTAGGGGAAGATTAAATTTGATGGCGACCGTCGTACACGGCCAGCAGCGACCACTGTCGATGAAGGCGCCAACAGTTGGTGAGGCAGCACCCTCTGACGACGGCTTGAATGGCCACCCAAGTTTGAAACAAAATAAGAATAAAGAAAGTTTACCTTACAGGATTGGTTGCGCGACGACGAGGAATGATAGCCACGTAAAGAGGGATGAACGACGACGACTATCTCACCGAAGGAAAAGGTTAACGACTGCGACAACTTCAATAAGAAAGAAAAAAATATTTAGGGTTTTTTAATTTAAGAATTGATATTTGATCCAATTATTATTGAAAAGATACTTGAAAATGATGTAATTAGTAATTTATTTTAACTAATTTACCTTTACATTTTTAATTAATTTATAATTATACGTCGAATGTTTTAGAATTTTAAATTTTTATAAATAGATTGATGGTGCTCATCATTAACGGTATTCAGCACCGCTCATGGAATGTAATAGAATTTTACCGCATTTTGTATGAGTTAAAAGTTAGGGTCGGTCCATTTGTTTCACTGAAAGCAGTTTCTGGAAAATGAAATCTTGAAAATGAATTACATTTATGGGAAACATTTTCCAGAAAATATTTTTCAAAAAATATTTTCCAGTATTTGGATGTTATATTGTAAAATGTTTTACACTGTTTGGTTAATTTTTCTGAAAACAATTTTCAGAATATGTTTTTAATAAAGAATCATACATATTCGATATGTTTTTATTCTTTACCTTTTAGTTTTATTAAAAGTTCACACATTGAGAGTAAGAATCAAATTATTTTATGATGTTTATTGGATCATGTTCTGAGATGTGTTATGGTTCCTACTGCACAGCATTTCATGGATTTGGAGTTCATTAGTCCTAATGCTCATCCTGGAGTTTACTTCTTTTACGACTTTTCTCCAATCAAGGTAGGTTATTTTTATGAACAATCAGTTCTAAAATCTTGACAGATATGTCTGACCTGTGGCCCTGCTGATTCTATTTAGTGTGGAAAGGTGCAGCGTCAATGATGCTTTTAATCAAACATACTGCACTGCAGTCTGTTCGTTTATATATTGATATGTGTTCAACACCCAAATTCTCAAGAAAACAAAGATTTCAAAGTAAGCATTTTCGGTTGACCAATAGTTACCGCGAAACATGAATAGTTTTTAGTTTAGATTTCCCCCCAAACTATTAAAAACAAAAGGATATGCCCCACAGGATTGTCTTGGCAACAACGGCAAGAAGCACACTACTTGGTCTCTATAGGAACTTGTACTCCACCCAGGTCAATTGAGGCAAGGGAAAGCTTCAACCTAATATCCTCAAATTCAGCATTCTGCCGTTATTCGGTAGTCTACCACGACGATAAACATCGATCGATCCAGTCCTTGCCACAACTCAAGGGAGAAGTTCCCTTTAAACTGTCCATCCTCGAGAATCTTGCGATCCTAGCTAGATTCAAAGCAGAGGGTTCCTTTGCATAACTCTCTAGGATGTCCTTAATGGCACCACACCAGATAGGTTGAGCTACCTTAAGAAACTCATGCAAAACCAGCACTGGAAGGATCACACTTCCAAGTTCGGACTCACCATTCCCACCTCTCCCATGATAATCTGATCCTCCAAGCTTCAGAAAATCATACGTATCCGCTAAGTCATTAAATGCTGTAAACCAAAAGGACATGAAAAGCTTTTAACTAGAAGCAATCTCATATCGGCCTTGTGTAAAGCTAAGCTCAATATAAACAAGTAAATAAATAATAAAATATGCAATTATGCAATCACCAACAGATGCTACATGCATCGTTTATGCTCCTGCAGTTTAACATTGTTTATTTCAACTACCATCAAGGCTGAGATTACCCCTACCGCTCCTCCAGAGAAGGATGCTACTATAGGATCGACCTGACTGCATTTACCACCAACGAAATGGTGTTTAATGATACCAAAAGTGAAACAAAATTGCATCCACAGGCTTACCAAATTGAAAACAACTAACAGATGCCACTTCTTTCTATCAGCGAACCTCTCTAAGAAATTAATTACCCATTAATATTTCTAAGTAAATATAGTATATTTCTAAGTAAATATAGTATATTTCTAAGTAAATATAGTATATTTCATAAGTTTGGTTTGTGACAATTGCAGTATCTAGCAGTATAACCAAAAGAAACATAGGAAATCAAATCGACTTTATCATGGTAAAAAAGGTAGCAATCAGCAACAGAGCTCAAGTTATGACAAATAATAAAACAATGATTCGCTACAAACCAAGAAGATTGACCATACCTCAACTGCATTGGCAGATGTAAACTCCAGATGAAATCTGCATATGATGTGCCCCCTAGTCCGAGCTTAAGTTCCAGCTAGGATATGGGAAGAGAAAGAAATAGGATGTGTAAGACAAAAGAATACGACTCCAAAAACCATGTCTAATTCTATTTTGTGCATATTCATATTAACATCACACAGCATCTCCATCAACAAATTTCAAAAGACATTCTTTTACTAAAAGGGGATTTCAGCATCAATGAGGCAAACAATGTTACACCCTTCCGGTTTCCCAATATAAGTAGTGATTATTTCCCATCATATATTTTATCCTCTCAAGAGAACACATTCCATTCATTCTATTCCGAAAAGCACAACAGCCCAACCAACGACATCAACCCGAGAGAGACTAGATCGTGAGTGTTGAGAGCACGAGTGACTTACAGTAGGTGCTAGAAGTCCACGGAAAATAATAATCTCAGCAAATATGAGAATAACAGGTCACATAATAAACCTTGAGATTCTATGAGGTCTGCAAGTTAAATACAAGGTCAAATAAATATAATTGTACATTGATTAACTTCAGTTTAATGATAACAATTCTGTTCATCTAAAAACAAGCAAAATATTAAGTTGATTGGCGAAAGAAATCATTAAAATAAAAATCTTACCAATGGAGGCAGAAATGGGATGAATGATGGAAACTTAGGAAGATCACTTTGTTGCTCTTCCTGGTAAATACCAAGTTCAGCATCACTTTCAGGCCATTCTATGATGCAAAATCTGCACTTTTTTTTTTTGTAAAAATAAAATCATATATCCCTAAGCTATTGAAATTCATACTTCGATACTTCTCAAACATAATTGATTCCGATCTTAACTAATTTAGCTTTTCATAGCTCAGACTTTACATAACAAATGAAATTATCCATAAAGCAATAAAGAAATTACCCGGATGCAACTTTATCTGCAGTAGAATCAGAATCAACAGACGGCGCGGAGAAAGAGGAATAGGGATCAGTAGCCATAGATCGCCATCTCGAATTCAATTTGCGCTTCGTATGAACGAATCTACGACTCAAAGGAGGAGGCAAAGGCTTTACCGTACAGGAAACCGCCAAGACGCGACTCAAACAAACCATCCTCGAGAAGAAGAGAGATGTTCGACCTTGATTTACACTTTCTGCTCTCAGTTAAATCTCATATTCAGAAGTGTGATTTTCCTAAACAAATTACAGAGAGATTGAAGAAGACAAAGCGGAAGCATTAAATTTTGATGCAAACGTGAATGGCGAAAATGAATCGAAGGCCGGTAATGCTGCCAATTACGTGGAATCAAAATGTTACCTGCTTATCTTTTTACGGAGAAGATGAAAAGAGAGATACCTGAGAAGATGACCGTCCGCCTTGCCGGTGAGAAGGAGGCCACTGGATCGCGAATGAATTTTCGGTGTGGAAAGAAGGAAGGGAAAATGAAGGACCGTGAAGGGAAAATGACTTACCCTTTTCCAATCGATAAGTCGTTTTACGCTGGAAATGGATGAGTTTTCCGTTGACCGTAAAATGAAATTCGTTGAATTTTACGTGAACCAAACACAGAAAACGGCGAAAACATTTTCCGTAAAATTTTTCTCCAAACCAAGCGGACCCTTAATTTTGAAATGTGGAACAAAATCCATTTTCTTTAGTATTTTCAAAACCAAATGGGATGTTTTTCTTTCAGTTGTAAATGCCGAAATGAGGCCCAATTCATGACCCGTCTTGAAGTGGAAACGCTGAACCCAAAATTGGGGTCTCCCTCCCTGGCTTCGCTTATTCAAATCTGGGCTGGTGGGGAACAGGGAAAAAGCAGCAGCAGTGTGTTGGTGAAGGCGATGAACAACATTTTCTCCATCCCGATTTTGATAATTTCACTCGCGTTTTTGTCAGCCGTTGATTGCAGCACAGGAGAATGGCAGATCCTCGGCAGTCTAAACTATTCTTCTCAGATCCGTCTCCACTCTCACACTCTCCTTCTCGTCACCGTCCCATGTAAACTACAAATAAATTCCGTCGAATCAAATTCACTTTTTAGAGTTCGCTTTACGGTTACGAATATGAACATAATGGTAATCTGTAATCACGTCATTTTCATTTGTTTTACAGGGTGCGGCGAGTCCCGGTCCCTTATGAGGGAACTGTCCCGACTAGTTGCCGATAAGACAATGGAGTTTGACTCCTTGAAATTGGCGTTTATTCATAGGAACACGGAGAAAGTATTGGCAGATTCCATTGGTGCCTCGGATGGAATAACGGTGTTTTATTATGATCACTCCGTATCTTATAAGTACCAAGGAAAGCTTCGAGCTCCAAGTATATTGAACTCTATTCATCCTTATATGATAGCTGATTCTCCTGAGGAACTTCCTCTAAAGCCCCTTAATTCTCAGGAGGACTTGAAATCGTTTCTAGAAGCAACTGACAGAGCTTTGATTTTAGCTGAATTTTGTGGTTGGGCTCCCAAGTTAGTGGCTAAGGTCAAGAATAATGAAACTGGGACTGATTTGACGCCTAAGGTTGCTGCTAGTTTCTTTTACATTTTGTGTCCATATTTAACTTAATTAAATAAGAGAGAATTTTGCGTTGGGGTTAGAGGTAATGTTGTTTAAACTTTTGTATATTTGTTTTTTTTTTATCTTCTTGAAATTCAGGAAATGGAAATTGGGATGCTGAAATGTGGTGTTGAAAATGGGATTGCTGGAATTCCTTGGATTACTGAGTTTAGTATGGTAAATGGTAGTGTTTCTTCACGGGAGAGTGAAAATTTGAAATTTGGTCTTGGATTGAGCTGTACCTTAAAAGAATATAAGCAATTTGATTTGTTTTTCTCGAAGTTGATTGATGTTAGAAGAGAGTTCTTAGTTCCTCCCGAAAGGCTTAGATTTGGGTTGATTTCTCATAGATCATTGATGTCATCGCTTGGTGTTGAAGATTCTGGTACATGGATGGCAGTGATGTACTTCAAAGGATGTCCTGGTTGTTCAAAAGTTATTAAAGATGAGTATGACCTCAAGAATGCCATAGTGACTGACAATTCAGTTGTTCGTGAGGTATGAATTTTTCTACCTCTCAGTGCCCTCCAAAAGCTGTGGTGAAAGCCTTCTTGGTTTAGAGCTCCTTTTTATGGTGTTTGAGGCTTGGTGGGAAAAGATTGATCTTAGGTTGATTGTATGCCACTGAAATACATAAAACAGGAACATCAGTAATTGCTTCTTTTTTCTTATCATGGGTAGGACACACGAATAGTATGCTTCAGCCAGTTCTGTTACATCTTGTTCTACTCCAAATGCTCTAGCTTGAAGTTGCAATGACCCTTTTTGTCAATTACTTATTTACTATAGCATAGTGGATTAAAGGAACTTGGTCTTGGTCACTATCCATCCCATTACTGCTATCTTGTTGTGTATAAGGCTCCTTAACAATGTATTTGTTAACTGTGAGCAAGAATATTATACTTATTAAACATGTAGTACAATTGGTTTTCATGCACAAGGGTGGCAGTCCAATTGCCATTTTTTTTTACCAATTTCCTGTGAATTTATATTCAAGTACAGTGGTTTTCTTTTTCTTTTTTCTCTCTTTTTTTAGAATATTGATTTTAATTTCTTATATCTTGTCTTTCTTATACTGATTATATCTCCTCCTCTTAATGTCTCATTTACTTCCCACGCAATGTAGCTACAATTTGATGGCCAAGATCTTCCGCTTGCTTTACCTGCAAATAAGCCATCAGTAATCCTTTTTGTTGATAGATCATCTGATACATTAGAGACTAGAAGAAAAAGTAGGGAAGCTCTTGATGCATTTAGAGAAGTAGCGCTTCACTACCAGATTTCAGATTGGAAGAGTTCACAAAATACCGATCACCAAGAAAAGTCACTACTTCTAGCTTATAAGGGTACATCAGGACATCCAAGACTACGTCTATTTGAAACGTTAAAGGATAAAATGTCATTCATGATTATAAATGAGGCTAAGCATGTCACTCTAGATAATATAGCCTCAGATTTGCAAGGTAAATCTTTGCAAGAGATCTTAGCTTATCTTATTGAGAGAAAGAAGGAAACCAAATTGAGCTCACTTGCAAAGGAATTAGGCTTTCGTCTTTTATCAGATGAGCTTGCCATCAAAGCAGCCAAGGAAGTACCATCACCAACAGATGGTCAATCGAACGATGCCTCACCGCCACCATCTCAGGAAGTTCCTTTAATTGGTATTGTTGATCCACAGACTCTACCAATGGAAACTGAAAACACTTTGGTGCGTGAGGAAAAACCTAAGTCTATTGGTATTGAAGTTGGACCTTCTTCTCCTGATAGAAGTCAAAATTTCATATCTATAGAAACTGACAAACTTTTGGAAGGTCTTGAGCTGGTTATAGCTGGGAATTTTAAGGCAAAAGAGAAAATATCATCAGAGATAAAGAAGTCCGGGGAACAAGGACCTCATGTGCAAGAGTTTAAGGGTTCTTTTTTCTTTTGTGATGATAACTATCGACTACTTGAATCTTTGACTGGTGGATCAACAATTCCATCATTGGTTTTAGTTAATCCTAAATCTCAGAATCATTATGTCTACTCCGAAGAGACAATTTTAAGTTACTTGTCAATTTCTAAATTCCTTCATGAATATCTTAGAGGAAGCATTGTTCCGTATCAACGCACTGTGCCTGTTCTTCACAGCCCCAGGGAGTCCACTTCTCCGCCGTTTGTTCATCTAGATTTTCATGAAATGGATTCCATCCCTCAAATTGCAATGCATACTTTGTCCAAACTTGTTTTTGGATATAACCAATCTAACAGCGGAAATGAGGTCCATGCTTGCAGTGAGGATATTGTTGTACTTTTTAGTAGTAATTGGTGTGGCTTTTGCCAAAGAATGGAATTGGTTGTTCGTGAAGTATATCGTGCCATAAGAGGTTACATGAAAATGTTGAAAAGTGCCTCTGGGAAAGAGCAAGCACTGTTTGATGCTGGTAAGTGCTTTTCACATTTATAATTGATTAAATATTTGATCCTTTATTCTTCTTGTCATATTTAGACCTATAGCTTTTTGTGTACTTGTTGAAAGAGAGAAATAATAAGTAGGCAATTATTTGATATTTTGAATAAAAATTCTGTGTGAAGTTGTAAATAGGCATGTGAGGCTGAGAGCCACGTTTGGCTGGTTTTGAATGAGGATACTTATTATCTTGAAGTTGTGTTATGTTTTGAGCAGCAGTACAGCAATCATGTTCAGAAAACCTTATGATAACTAGTTATAGTAGTTCAGTGGACATGCTTCTCAAGGCGCCTTTTTGGAGCCATTATGAGATATACAACTAATCTATTGTTTCTCTGTCTCGTCAACTTGAGAAATAAAATCGAGTAAATCAGTGATCCATTCTATGTGATTTCTGCTAGGATATGCTGCTTCATGTTTATGAAGCATTTGAATCAGTTATAATGATTATTATTAGTATTATTATTACTACTACTACTACTGAACATCTTCTTTTGTTGTTTGTTTGGTAGAAAGAATGAATGTTAAAATGGGAAAAATGTTCCATAAATAATTATGTATTGACTAGTGTTATATTTGTGGCAGACAACTCGATGAATGATACGAAACTTCCACTCATCTATATGATGGATTGCACAATGAATGACTGCAGTTTAATCCTAAAATCGGCAAACCAGGTTAATTTTATATTCATTTATGACTCTCTGTGAAATATGATAGTCCTTTTTCCCAATCCTCCTATTCTCTACTATGTTGAAATGTATGCATACATTATTTTTTTAAAAATAAATTGTATGCATCAATTGCTGCAAAAGAAAAGGAATAATTTTTGTTTATGTTTGTCTTTTTACTGTCAATAAACCTGGCTTTGCAGAGTGAAGTTTATCCTGCTCTGATGTTATTCCCGGCCGAAACTGAAACAGTTATATCTTACAATGGAGATATATCAGTAGCTAATATAATCAAGTTTATAGCTCATCATGGAAGTAATTCTCATCATCTCTATAGCGAGAAAGGTAACTTGTGCGTCATCTTTGATATGTACATCTCTTAATCCTTGAAGTAAACGGATGAATTTTGATGTTTCCTCCCTACTCTTAAACTTTCTTCATGCAATTATTCCCTTTTCCCTTCTTACTTTTCTTCCTGCTTTAAACATTTCCTGTTAGCGTAGACCTAATTTCTTTGTTGTACTTGTAATTTCCTTTATTCCAGCACTCTACACGTCCACGTGTCCCGACTATAGTTATAATTATTTGGTTTCTCATGTATCTCATTGTGACTTAAATTTAAATTGCTCTCGTCCTTCGTCTGTAACTGAAGGTGTTTTCTTCTTTTTATCTACTCAACTTGATTGTTCATTTTCAATTGATAAACCATGAGTTTGGCTTCTACTATGTTTTCAAAAGGGGAATAATAGCTGTGAAGGGACTATAAGATCCCTTGTTCAATTTCTTTCAGAATGAATCTTAATTTTGTCCTCGAGAATGAAGAAAGGACTCTTCTAGAAGTTATATTTTAAGGCTTTTTGTTGGCAAATGCAACTCCAGCTTTGATGCTTTAAAGCATGTTCTGCTTGTCCATTTAAGCTTAAAGAACACTTGTGCTCAAGAGCATTATATTTCGCACATGGAGTAGGTGTTGCTTGTTTTTCGATTTTCTGTTTTCTTTTTCTTCCCTTTCATCTTTCTGGTTAAGAGAAAACTGTATACTTTGTTTTCTCTGGTTTTTGTAGGAATTTCATTGACGAGCACCGAAGGAGTTGGGAAGAATCAAGATTCTCCTGGGGTTGCAACTCATGAGGAAGGTCAAACTGCAAAGGACAAATTCCATGAAGTTATATTGAAAAACCAGAACCCAAAAAGAGTTTCTAAATACAATGGTGGCAAATCGAGGTTGTACAATTCGGTTGTCTCGAATAAAGCCACATTTGAGGTGGTGGTTGGTTCAATCCTTACTGCCACCGATAAACTTCTCGAGGTCGCCCCATTTGATAATTCAAAGATCATCATTGTGAAGGCGGATGAAGAAACTGGTTTTCAGGGTTTGATATTTAACAAGCCAATCAGATGGGACGCTCTAGATCCACTTGGAGAAGGGATAGAGTTCCTGAAAGAGGCTCCTCTGTCTTTCGGAGGCGCCGTTTTAAGAAAGGCGGCAATGCCCTTCGTTTCTTTAGCTAGGACGGTTAGCAAAACTCAGTACGTCCAAGTATCTGCAGGCATCTACTTTCTTGATCAATTTGCCACGGTTGGTAAAATTGAAGAGCTGAAGGCTGGAAACGAATCGATCAGTGACTACTGGTTTTTCTTCGGGTATTCAGTTTGGGGCTGGAACCAACTGCTTCAGGAGATTGGAGAAGGTGCATGGACTGTAAGCAATGAGGGTAAGAGCTTAGATTGGCCGTTGAATTGAGACAGGTTTCGACTGTAAATACGAGATTTTTCTACTGTAACGAAAATTTGATGCAACTGAAATTTGAAATTTTGGATTTGTTAAGTTGAAGTTGGAGGTGCCGCATATAGTTGGTTATAGATGGGTTATAACATAAAATAAATAGTTAATGCTCAATCCGAGTAAATTAAAATAAAAAATCACATTTTTAGTGTAATAACACTTTCAACGATTGAAATAAGAAACTATGCCCGATCAATTGAGACATTATAGGTAGGGGTAGACCATTAGAATTATGTTTGATTAATTTAGACATTATAGATAGGAATAGACCGATCGATAGAGACTGTTGACGATCGTCCTTGAAAAGTTTTAAATTTATCATATTTTTCTTTTAGTATTTTCTTTTGATAATATGATATCAACCCTTAGTATTTTTACTGATAAATTACTTTCACTCTTTATAATTTTATAAGTTAATTCTTTTTTTAAAAAAAATTAGAAGTTAGGGTCCGTTTATTTCACGTAAAACGTTTTCCGCAATTTCCAATGTTTGGTTAGAGGAAAATTGGTTGGTCAACGTAAAACATTTTTCTGATCAACAAAGTTTCCTTTGTGTTTTCTGGAAAATGACTTACGGTCTGATTTTCTGTAAGTCATTTTCTGAACTTTTCACTTCAAAGAATAATACTTAAAATAATTTTATTTTATGAATTTAACATTAATAAAATATTTTAATATCATTTTAATCAAAATATTAATTATTAAAATATTTAAAATATATTTATTAATATTTCTAATAACAGAATATTATATTTTTAATATTATAATAAAATAATCAATTATATTATAATAATATAAGATATTCTTTTTTTATTTTAATAATATATAATAAATTATTAATAAAATTTATATCATTTATTAATTTCATAGAAATAATATTATTAAATTATTAATAATGAATAATATTATTTATATATTTAATATTAATATAATAATATAATAATATTTTAATAAAGATATTTAAAATATACTAATTAATATTTTTAAAATATAATATAAAACTATTACTTTAATAAATAATTAATATAATTTATAATATTTTTATTACAATAAAATATATCATATTAATATTTTTATTAATAAAATTAATATTTTAATAATAAATAAATTATCTTAATATTTTAAAAATAATAATATTAAGTTTTATGATAAATAATATTATTTATTATATTTAATATTTGTAATAAATAATTTAAAAAAATTCATCAACTAGTGAAAAAAAAATTTAAACATCTTCAAAATATCGTAAAACGTTTTCCATAGAGTATTTTTCAAAAAATATAATACATTTTCTGAAAAATATCTTCCAAAAAACGTTTTCAGTAAAACAAACGAACCCATAGTCTCTACTAACCCGTCCATGAGTTTATAGGTGTGATTAATACTATTATATTGTTCAATAAAATTATTAGTTTGTTAACAAATTTAGAAATTTGATTTAGCTTTTACTCAAATATAAATGGATTCTTTCTAAAACTTGCCCAAATATGCTAAATCAACGCTTTAAAAAATATAAATTCTAGTACCTGCAGGTAATAAGTGAAGTAGAAGAAAGGAAAATAGCTTGCAAGGACACAAAATTGAGGGAAATCAAAAGTTACCTGTTATACGTTCTGGAAGACAAATAATGAAGACTAAAACCGAAATTTATAAATGATAAAACTGCTTTTATCTTAATCATTTATACCAATCAGAGCATCTTTTTTTTTTTTCCGAATTGGGTCCCAAATTTTGTGAAACAAACTGGCTATCAGTCTGTTCCGTGGAGTTCGAACCTTATAAAGCTTAAGGTGAGATTCTTCACCAAAGTTCAAGTTTTGCTCAATCAAAAATGCTATTGGTGTATTATTTCTTCCTTGCAAGGTAGATGCCTGCAACAATAGCCACACCAGCAGCCGCCAGCGATATGAGAATTTTGCCACTTGAAACTGTCGGCTTCTGTGAAGGAAGTGTCATGAGATTATCCATCAAAACAGGTTGCTTCCAAAATTTCTTAATTCCTTGCAAGTGGCCTTTACCGACGACCGCAACAACTGAACTATGCTCACTCGCAATTCTTAGTAAAGTGGATGACATGAACCTGAATGTTTACGCAAGTTTTAGAAGATCAAACACAAAAAGTAGCACAGGTATAAAGTGTGTGCTTCAAAAAGCATAAAATGAAAAGGCTTAACAATACTTGACAAGTATATCAACAATATGAAGCAAAGCTAGGGAAAAACTATAAGGGCAGGCTTAAATCATAAATGGTTATACAAATTTTGAAGAGAAATAAAACCATACAATTTAGATTTGCCGTCAAGAAAGCGTCCAAAAGAGTGTTATCAATACTCAAAGTTACCAATTAAATGTGTTGGATGTGGGCATGTGTATGGGAAAGGTATGCTCATTTTTTTTCTAGTTTATACACACACGTACACATTTGGAAGGTCATGATGCTATATCCATGTCTGAATATGTGCTGGATAATAATGCTTTAGAAAAAATAAAAGTTCAAGTATCATATTCTGGTACAAAAATTTGATAAGCATCTAAGAGAGAAAAAGAATACTGACTGGTCTCGTTCATGTACAAGAGTTTCCATTAGAGTTGGGAATTCCTTGCTCATTTCTTGAATAACAAGAGTCAGCATGTCAACATCATCCATGTCCTTCAACTGAACATACAATATAATTTTTAGTATAGTAAGGAGTTAGTTTCCATGAAGTCCAAGTGCTTTAATATATGAAATTGTAAAGAAAGTTTAATAAAAAAAATGTAAAGAAAGCACATTTATTGTTATGACATAAGAGCAAAATGAAGTTCACCATTTTGTTAAGCTCATCAGGGCTTGGCAAGAATACTGCTTGAAAAAGCAAGGAATACAGTAACTTTATCTTATGCCAAAGTGACATTTTCCCCCAGGTTCTGCTCAATGTAACCTGTTTCATCCAATCCAATCTTTGAAAATGCTTGCAGGTCAAGATTAAAAATATGCATACACAAAATGCTACCCTAGCATGAAATGCTTGAGAAAATGGTAGCATAGCCACATATAGCACCACCAAGACATCATCCATATTTAGCAGTGCTTAGAGGCTTATGCACATTACCTTGCAACCAGCACTACATGTTTTAAATATTCAAAAAAAATAATAAAGGTTTTAAAACGTTTCCTCAAGAAATTAGGTTGAGAAATGCTGCCCAACTTCCTTTATTGAGAAACATAAATTAACCATTTGACTACCTTCTCAACAACTTGCCTACAAACAATAACTAGATTGTCTTACATAAATTTGAGTTTTTTCCAATGAATTTTGACAATAATGTTTTCTTTTAGCAACCAGAGAAACATCTTACCTGTACAGGACGATCACCAAGAATCACCTTGCCACCATATTTCATTGCTTCTTCAAATGCCACACGAAATTCAGACCCAGGGAAGACCTCAAGCCTGCTAGCAACCTATCAGTATTGAGTAATGATTTAGGACACACAAATTGCTTAATAAGGGAACAACAGCAATGCCAAAGTAATGAGGAAAAAAGGTATTAAGACATAAGTACCTTAGCAAGAAACCAGCTGTAAAGGATACCAAACATGTTATGCTTCTTTTTCCACATATCTACCATTTCTCCCAAGGTTGGTACCTGGTAATCGAAATATTAAAATAAGAAGATGAAAAACTAGCAACAGAATATTAAAGCCTAGAAAAGATGTGAAACCAGTCGATCAGTTTTACAATCAAAACAAAAGCCTTATGACATGACCATGATATGCAAGGTTATTCAGAGAATGCACAAGAATATCAAAAGGGTGCAGCAATCTCAAAAAAGGGTAGCAAAAATTATCTCATCAATATAAAATTTCCAATATCTGGAGCCTCATGTTAACCCTTTCCTTAAAAACATAGAATTTACTAAAGAAAGAACAAACCTTCAAATTTTGCGGAGTGAGCACGGCAACTCGACTTGGGCATAACTCCAAGAAAACAACCTAAAGGAGGCAATTGTTTTTTTTATATATATATAAAAAAAAGCTTATGAGTTTCGAAGTTCAAGTTAATTGTTGAGGTGAGTTTCAAGCCACCGTACAATATAAACGCAGGTAGCTAACCTGCTAAATGATATATCCATGAATCAAGAGTTAATTAGTTTCAGAAGAGAAGCACCTGTGGTTTCAAACAACTGATTACAGCTTGAACTTCTCTGCATGACTCCTGCAAAACCACAATAAGAAAATATCAATCAGATTGATAACCTTCAGAGATTGGTTAAATCCCTTTCTATAATAGTCATTTCCCATCCAAGATTATCACTGATATCCTTCAGAGAATTTACATACAGGTTTCATTTAAAGCTTAATTTTTGTTTTAAAAAAATCCCGATTCTTAAATTCTATCAATTTCCAGCATTTTCTCGTTAAACCAAACAGAAACCAAGACCGGCACGTGCCATGGAGACATGCGCAGTCCCAACTAAGTACACATCGCAATTGCCGCCCTCAGAGGAAGATTCGCACGAGAGAATGATCACGCTCCTCAAAAGATCCTCCGGGAGCTCCCTTCTCTCCAAGGAACCGGATCTGTCGATCGTAGAAACATCGTCGTCATTGTTGCCTTCAAAACCCTCGTTTTGTATCTCTTCTTCTTCTCCTCCTTCGTCCTCCTTTTCAACATTCACGATGCTATCGCCCAATGCATCCACAAAACTAGGGTTAGGGCTGTCGATGTGCACAAAATCCTCGCCGCTAGGATGACCAGATTCCGTCGGCATCGGCTCCATTTCCGGCAGTTTGGGGTTGTAATCGAAACGGTTGACGGCGGTGACGGAGAAAGTGGTTATTATGGGGTTTTAAGGGCGCGTATTGTTTCAGTTGTTTAGGAATAACGGGGAGGGAATTTAGAAGAAGAAAAGAAGCTAGAGCAGGGTGACTCGGGCGATATGACTGGGTTGTGTGGGCGAGTCAAGAGTAACGTATAAACCGTCCGGTTAAGAGATTTATCGTGT